TGTATCAAGTATTACAGTAGGCAGAGTGGGCACATGAGACACTCTGGATATGGTGGTTAAAACACAAATCTCTTCCCCTGCTGGGAGAAAAACCTGGTCATCCAACAGATGGTCAGTCACTTTACAAGTTTTCCTTTCTATAATTTTTGCAAACTCCTCTGAAGTTTATAAAGGTGAAAAGATGAAGTCAAAATCCCCCCCCCCCCATAATTACATTGGCTGAGACACTGCCTATGTTATCAATGACATATTATGTCTGTAAATAATCTTGACAGAGAGTCACTACTTTGCTACCACTGTTAATCCTACTGAATTAGCTGTGAATATACAGATATCTTCTAGCAGTGCAATTCAAAATTAGTAGCATTATTGTTCAGAACTTAATATTAGTACATCCGATCCAATATGAAATAGTATTTGGTGAACATGTTATGGAAAGGAAACTGAAAAACATTTCTACTGCAGTTTGCAAATGATAAAATATCTTAGCTCTTTATTTTGTTCATATAAATGCTATATTTATTATCAAAATGCTATTGGGCCCCTTGTTTTAGTAAGTTTTTAACAGGCTGTTATGTTTAGAACTGCTAATTGTCGTACTTGTTTTAGAAATTCCATGGTAATCCTATCTCGTCCATCATCAACATCAAATTCATTACAATATTTATTTATTTGTGTTAGATCAGAGGCCAGCATCCTGAAACCCACAGGCCACATTTGGTTCTTGCAACCCTTTTCTGTAGCATATCAAATGATTTGGGTATTTGCCAATACGATAAGGGCACAAATGTTCTGCTAATGAACAACAAATATGAAATCAAAGCATAAGGGTAATCACAAGAAATAATAAAACAACAGTTTTGTATATCAAATCTAAGTTTTGTAGATGAAAATTACAGTGGCATTATAACTGAACTCCTATAAAATTAACAATGATTTGAAATGAAGACTGTCTGAAATTAACAAATATTTTTAAAACAAATTCATTTGTATGCATCCCCATAAGTTTAAGAAATACTGTTTTGTTTACTGTCCATGACATTAATTCTTTCTGCAGCCCTCTAAAAAGACAGCCAATATGGTCCATGGTATTGAAAAGATTGCTGACCCCTATTTTAGGTTATAAAGTTTGCACTTACAATAAATTATGTTTAAAGAGACCAATGTTTTAGGCCATATGTATTTTACATGGAACAAAGTAACGACAAAGATGATTTTATATACAAGTACATTATTAATAAGTGGCACTTACCATACAAGCCAAACTGGTGCAATTGTAAAATCATGGTTTGTGTTTGAAGCCAGTCTAAATCTACTTTAACCCATCCGTTTATGTCTCTGTTGTTCCGCTGCACTGCCCATGTTAGTGCTCAACATATTTAACCATTATTCCAGGAATATATTTAAACTGTGGTTTTGATTCAGTATCTTTTAGTTAGGAATTATAGCTAAAAGAGTGTCCATAGCATTCACTGCATATATAAGATTCATTGTACTGGCTCCCACTGTGAATACCACAAAAGTAAAGTCATAAATAATTAGAAGACAGTGTTCTCATGCTTCAAAATGGAAATGGTACTTTACAGGTATTTTTACACAAAACAATTGCAGAGTGGATGAATTAGCATACTCCCTGCCAGCAGCATAAATTTTTAGTATGATGAGAATATCACAAACTTGTATGTTGATATACACTGGATTCCGGTTAATTGGGACACATTGGGACTAGAACACTTTGGCCTAATTAAGCGGCTGCCTCAATTATGCGAAGTTCCACGTAAAGAGTTAAAAAGGTTTGTTCTTTTAAGATTTGTCCCAAATAAACAGCTGCCCTGATTAACCGATGGCCCAATTAACCAGAATCTACTGTATATCAGTACCCATTAATTTTGTTCATTGTATATTTAAACAAATCCTATGATATTTATTTGTTTACTTGTTCATATATGTAAACTTGTATGTGCAGGAGACCTGAAAATCCCTACTGCATCCAAACTTTCAAAAAGTCAGACTATACTTAACCATAAAATGGTCTGTTTATGACAAAGGTGCATAATAAATGAAAATTACTATTATATTCAGGCATTCCTTGCACCTTCCTAAATATTTTAAGCTTTTGAATTAAAATGTGAAACATTTAGTTTGAATTATGATTACTTGAAACTTCATACTGCTGGTTAGGGATATGTTAACTGCGTGCCTGAGATCAGAAGCAACAATTTGTGTGTGTTTATTTTGGTAAATTTTAAATACAGACATGATGCATTTACAGAGTTTGAAGTAAAAAATATACATATTAACTCAGGGCCCAATGAAGAAAACATAACCACAAAGAACATTTATCCTAAACAGAAAAGACAATTAAATTAAAAACTTTGCGTTAAATATGATGCTTCGTTGTGTTGGGGGGAGGGGGGAGCATTTTTGTATAATGATATCAGTGAAGTAATATTACCATCAGCAGGTCCTTTATGAAGAAGTGAACTATTTCATGAGATGAAATATCTTGCTATATGCAAATTTCTAGTGCCTTTAAGCTTCAGGAATCATATCACATAAGGTATGTTCTGGTTCCAGATTAATGTACAAAGCATTTGTAAGGAAGATAAATTAATAGCAGTCTGCTAATCTATCCATGGATGGAAATTGAACAGAGTTTGGAATAATGATTTAATGACCTGAAAGTATCTGTGTTGCTGTAATTTCAAAGACTCAGTTGTTACCTATAAGTTTTTTTCTATAGACAAGAATTATACCTCAAAGGTTCAGAAATATTTATTGTATTTACAATAAACTTATATTCTTTTTCAATGTTACTGACTCTTGAGAAGTTCCTTTTCTTCCCAACAGACTGTACATGTTTTGAGTTAGACATATTGTTATGTAAGTTTCTGGTAAAAGATAATTTAACTTTGCTCTCATTTAGGAATTTGTTTCTTATGCTTCTGGCAAGGACACCCATTGAAAGAGTTTGAGAACAAAGTGTTGAGAAGAATATTTGGGCCTATGAAATGCAAAGTATCAGGAGAATGTTGAAAAAGCACTGCATAATAATGGAAGCATTATTTTAACTCTGCATAATATTATTAGTGATTAAATGAAGATGGATGAGGTGAGTAGAACATATGCCACAGAAGGAATAAATGTGAAATGTATATAGAAATATTGTTGCATGGGGAATTGGATAATATTAAATCTATCTTAGGGAAACAGGGTGTAAAGGTGTGGACTGGATTCATCTACCTCATGATTGTGTCTAATACTGGCTGCTTATGAACAAGGTATGAACTTCTGTAAACAATGGGAATTTATGACCAGCTACACAACTATCAACTCGTCAAGGAAGGCCCTGTACCATGGTGTTAGTTATGTGGGTGTATCATTTCTACAATCTAAGCTCAGCTGAATAAACCACAGATGTAATAAATAAATTAACGATACTAGGGCAAGTAAAGCACTTCATTACACGCATTGTTGTAATTAGAAATTACATAATATAGCAGAACTATCATCATGTAAGTTTAGATGTTACTGCTTTCGCCCCGGCGACTATCTCTGGGTATTATCTGTGACGTAACTAGTCATGTATATGAAATGCTTATGTGCTCGAGCTGTTACTTATGGCGGTGGGAATTTCGATCTTTAGGGACGCGTACTTTATTTGCAGTTCATAGTTTAAAAACGTAAAGTTAGATTGGTCTTACTTTTGGCATAGAATATGTGCTATTATTTCTTATGTTACGGTATTGAGGTAAGAGTTCGAAATTAAATTCGTTACATATGTTGTAGGTTAAGGAGTTACAATTCTTATTGATTGCTGGATAATCTCTTGGCATGTGGTTAAAATGAGTATGGATAAGCCTTCCAGGTGCAACCGTTTCTTAACTCGAAGTCTGTTAAATGCCTTCCTGGGATACCTAGCCTATAGTCAATTTGTTTATACATGTACATGACTTAACATTTAAGCCCAGGTGATTTAAACCTTTTCCAGACCTAGGGGCCCTATTCTCTCTTGCTTATGGACTTGTGGGCTGCATGATTATAAATGAAGACAATATATTGAAACTTCATGATGATTAATTAAGCCTCTTACTATTGCAAACAGGTTCACATATTGAAGACGACTGTCTTCTGGGTTGTTGCACCATGTAGTCTGTTAGAAATACTCATGGCCCTGATGATGGTGGCAGCAAGCACCTCTGAAACGTTGGTAAAATTTGACCAACTATGTAGTATAATAACTCTGAAGACAGCCTTCTTTGCTGTGATGAGGATCACAAGTCTCACTTAGGTTCATATAAGTAAAGTAAAGCTGTCCCACTATATGCCTTGTAGGCACTTTGGGGGAGAGAAGGTATAGCTCCTACTTTTTTTTAACCTTAGCAGTAGGTGGGGGTGAGTGGTTAGTGTCATGTCCTGACCACGCTTTACTCCCAGGAAAGGACCCCAATACCCATTGGATAGGAGGCTGGGTGGGCCCCAGAACCGGTGTGGATGCAGAGGCACATATTTCTCAAATATTTCCTTTTACAGAATCAGTCATTAGTGAGTTATTTGACACTGCCTTGCTTGTGTAATCTTTTGATATCAGGTTTAATTTATTGTGATTTACGTTCATCCCTCCTGAGAAGGATGAACATGATGTGTCATAGTTCTTGATTAACCAGAACAGTTGGTCACTATGATGGGCACTGTCTGATACTGATGATATTGACAGATCATGTTTGATGGTATCAGGTAACTATTTTTTATCATACAGTATGACATTATTACAAAAGAAATAAATGTGGATTGCACAAAACTCAAGTCACAGGTTCAGACCCTGCTCTTTAGACAATATAGTAAGCCATATGTTCAGTGTTTCCAGTTATGAATATGCATATGTTGGGAGAAACTGAGGAAAATTTATGATCTGAATATGAAGCAGGAGTGCTGATCACTCACTGGTATTGCTCAGTCTGAATCACTATTGTCAGCACCATCACTGCTAACAGTGCTGTTTAGTTTATATTCAGGAGGTCATTGGTTTAGGTGCCGCATCTGAAGCTAGCTGTCCTCTGATATTTTAGTGATTTTCCTCTCTTCTATGCAGTTGTTGGAATAACTCCTTAAACAGACCACTCTCACATGTATATGCTCTGCAGTTCTTCATCCACAGCCATCCTGTCATTTAACACTGTGTAATCTATACAGTTGACACTGCATTGTTCAATTAGTTGTGAAACTGATAACATTAATGCTGAAAGAGATGATACTTATCTATGAATATGTTTGTGATATTTTGCAATTAATTTCAGGGTTCCAAAAACTAATTTACAGAATTTCGTATTTGCTACAGAAGTCCCATGGAAATGTGCTTATGATACTCATCAGTTTGATCTTGCAATCAAGAAATTAAAGACTGTACTGAACTAATGTGAAAAATTTTCTGTGTAAGTATGTGTAATATTTTTGGATCCATAATGGTTAAACAATCTACATGGTGTAGGACCTTCCTTGAGCAGTTGACAGCTATGCAGCTGAACAAGAAAATTTTCTTGCTACAGAACCCAAAGGCCAATGCCAATTGTGTGCCATAGGACCCAGTCTTGATTGAGTAAAATCCATTTCACATGCTGATAGTTTGTTTCTTCAATTAGACTGATGTAGTAGTGATGTGATATGGGAGGTACTCAGTTTGAATCTCAGCATAGTTACCAGGTATCTTAACAGAGGTTTTCCTCTTCTTGGTATTTCTTAGTCTTTCTGGTTGAATTCCAGAATAAAACCTTGAAGTTCACTGTGACTGTGTTATTTCACATCACACTTGTCATATTGTTTTTATTTTGTTTTCCAAACAGAAATCCCAGCATGAAAGGAAATTGTACGATATGTTCAGGAAGAATGACATTTATAAGATTGGGTCTCATAAAGGCTCGTTGCAAGATAGAGGCCGTGAAGGTTCATTTCCTCCATCCAAAAAAGCAAGACTGGGTGACAACTATACAGCACAGCAAGCTAGAGTTGAGGATGATGTCTGGGGCGAGGACCTGGATGCCAATACAGTTGAGGAATGTTTTATCCTGGCTTCACAGGCATTATCTCAGGTTTGTACCACAAATGGTTGTACATATCATATGTTTCTCAGAAACAATGTTAACCACCTACAAGATTTTACAGCAACACATCCCAGAAGGTTAATGTTGATACCTTCACTGCTTTGAGAACCTCAGATCTTTGTACATTTGATTTCCAATTCTTCTTTTATTTTAACTTTTTATAATATTATGGGGGGGGGGCAGCATGAATTTCAGGCAAGTGTAACTCAGTCAGGAGTGGTTGTTTGGTAAATTAGTCATATCATGATACTAATCAATGGGGCACAGATTGGCAACTTGTTTATAAAATCTAAGTATAACAGACCATTTCTTTTCAAAGACATGCATCCCAGAAATATCCACAAGCAAAGAGCAGCCACAAGCACAGGAATGTCACCGAGTCCAGCCAACAGTGGAGCAGTTCCAAAAATCTGCAGTGCAGCTGTGCAAACAAAAGCAAACTGCAACCTTTACCAAAAATGTTACATCTTCAAGATGGTCAGAGACATTCCCAAGAAAGATTCCATCTGTATCAAAACATGTCGAGATTTTGCCAACAAGCATTCCATCATCTACAGGACAGGCGATGATAGCACAAAGAAATACTGCTACATTAAACTATAGAACATTGGCAGGAAATGCTACAACCTCATCTTCTTCAGTCAGTTCAATAAAGAACATAAATACAGGTAATTATTACCATTTGTCTCGAATAATACTGAGTAGGGTTTGCTTGGATGCCAGCAGGTGCAATTAAAGAATGGTGACATGCATGACTGCTTCTTGCATTGTCCTTCCTAGTTCACCGTATGAAACCAAAACCTTATCTCATTCAGTGCTTGTGAATATTTGCATTTAACATACCATCCCTCTCTCCATTAATGAACACATTGTTTAAAGAAGGTTGTTCTGCTAGCCCTAACATGATCTGGTACTTGTGGGTTATCGGGACACAAAACGGGAGAGTCGAATGAGGCATGGCCCGACATCATCTGGATTCATATTTAGCTGAGTTCATGTGGCGGGGTACAAATGATAACGGCGATATTTTTAAAATGATTCTAAAATCTATAAGCGAATTTTGGCCTCCGGAGACAGGTTGTAACAACAATTAACATCTCATGCATATCCAAATAAAATATAATAATTTGTTATTTATTGAAATAAAATATAATAACTTTCAAGTATATGTCATTTATCCACACACATTAACCTAACCTCCTAACCTATTTTTAAAGTGATGTGTCCCGATAACGCACAAGTACCCATGATCTATTGTGGTTGGTGTATAGAGACTTTTATATTGCATATAATTTTCATATGCTATACTTACTCTTTTCTGAAATTGTTGCTTTGAAAATCATATTGTAACTGAAGGTTATTTGTTGGTTTCTTTTGTTTTTAGAAACATAAGTATATCAGAAGTTGGAATTTTGTTAGGCAGTGTAAGTCAAGAAATAGAATTTAAGTTGCGTGGAAATTTTTGTGAGTTCCATTTCACAGTGAGCAAACAGTATGTAATATGAGTGTCATTTATGCCCTGTGTTTTACATCATGTAATGAAATGCACTGAAAGAATACTAATATACAGGAAATCCCATTTAATGTCGATCCTACTGCAACAGCATACCACTGAAGCAGCAGTGAGCAAAATACTGGGATATGAGTTAGAGCGAAGAACTTGGCTGTCACATGCTAGTATGCGGGTTCCGAGTTACTTGGGATTCTACGAGCACAGTGTGTTTTCAACACCAGATATTTGAAATTGGTGGTGTTACAATATAAAATAGTGACAAATAAGCAATTGGAATCAAAGCCTTGAAGCATAACATGTGTTAGACACCATATGTCAAGCCCATTCTGATAGCACTAGGACGAGTATACTGTAAATCATGAAGCATGTAGTTATGACATTTTCTTTATTATCTGTCTAATTTCAAGAGTCGGGGACCTTTGTGACAAGCTCAGCTTATTAAGAAATTCCTTGATTTTTCTGTTTTAAGTTTCCTTACAATAATGGTATATGCTTTTCTCATCTCCCCATGCATACTACATGCACAGACCATCTAATCTTTGTTTGTAAAGAGTAAAAATTATAAAGTTCCTCATTATATGATTTTCTCACTTCTCTTGATATGTCCTGTCTGTTAAGCACAATTGTCCTGAATATCATTAATGTGTTCTTTCCTGAAAGTGAGAGATAACATTTCACTACATGTACGAGAACTTGAAAATTAGTATTATCAGGCTTACAGTTAAAAAAAAACAGGAATGTAATAAATTCTAGTGTTTCTCCCAAGTATTTGAAGTTTTTCATATTTATATTATTTCTTCACTGTATTGTATTATGAACCGGGATGGCTCAGTCAGTATAGTGACTAGCTACGGGCTGGACGGCCGGGGTTCAATCCCCGATGGGGGCGGAGGATTTTGCTCTAGCCTCTGCGTCCAGACCGGCTCTGGGGCCCACCCAGCCTCCTCTCCACTGGGTTCCTTTCCCAGGGGTAAATCCGGCCGGGGTGTGATGCTGACCACTCACCCCCATCTAGTTCCGAGGTCAAGAAAGAGAGGAGCTATACCTCCACTCACCCCAAGTGCCTATATGGCACGTAGTGGGACAAACTTTACTTTTACTGTATTATATTATATTTCAGTAGCATTTAGAAGCAAGTGAATTTGTCCTGCAAGAGTGATATTTGTTTTGCAGTCAATGATCGTGATGAAAAGGACTTACTCATTCGTGAGTTACAGCAGCTCAAACTGGCCTATCAGAAGCTGCAAGACCATGCTCTCACAAAGGAGGGAGAGGTGAGTTTAATCCTGTGTTCAGATTGAACACTGAACATCTTGTACAGGATGGTGCACAAAATGTCATACCATTTGTTTTACATATAACATATTTTTATTTTTATAAAAGTAGTACAAAACTGGTATAGAATTAATCACTGTAGCTTGGAAAATTGTTCCTAATGAATGATGTGTTCAATATGACCGCCGTTTGCCTCACAACCTCTTGCAAACGAACCCTTGTGTTCGTCACCACTTTTTGACACAAGTTTTCAGATAGCGCACGGCGCAACTGCACTATGCAGGCTCTGAGCTGCACTACATTTTCTGGCCTCCTTTGGTACACTTTCTCTTTGAAGAAACCCCACAAGAAGAAATCACACGGATTAATGTCCGGGCTATGAGGCGGCCACATTTTGCTGCCCTCATGATGTTCAGGAAACTGATGCAACATCACACGAAGATTAAACGTCTCGTTCAGGAAATCAAGAACCACGTTCACAGTTGTGTGGATGGGCTCCATCCTGCATGAACCACTTTTGTTTGCATAGGGAGACCTGTTGCCAAGAGATGGGGGATAAAACTGTTTTCCAACATGTCTTTGTATTGATCTTTGTTAACGGTTTCATCAAAGAAAAATGGGCAAAATGTGGCCGCCTCTTCAAAGAGAAAGTGTACCAAAGGAGGCCAGAAAATGTAGTGCAGCTCAGAGCCCGCATAGTGCAGTTGTGCCGTGCGCTATCTGAAGACTTGTGTCAAAAAGTGGTGACGAACACAAGGGTTCGTTTGCAAGAGGTTGTGAGGCAAAACGGCGGTCATATTGAACACGTTATTCATTAGGAACAATTTTCCAGGCTATAGTGATTAATTTTATACCAGTTTTGTACTACTTTTATAAAAATAAAAATGTGTTATATGTAAAATAAATGGTATGACATTTCGTGCGCCACCCTGTATCAGTTTGCAAAACATCAGAATTCGGTCTCCACAGTCAGTTTACAGTACAGGCAGGCCTTTTCATTGAAACTACCTCCGTAACAGTATGAGCCGGGATAGCTCAGTCAGTATAGTGACTAGCTACGGGCTGGACGGCCAGGGTTCGATCCCTGACGGGGGCAGAGGATTTTTCCTCTAGCCTCTGCGTCCAGACCGGCTCTGGGGCCCACCCAGCCTCCTCTACAATGGGTACCGGGGTTCTTTCCCGGGGGTAAAGCCGGCCGGGGCGTGATGCTGACCACTCACCCCTATCTAGTGCCGAGGTCAAGGAAGGGAGGAGCTATACCTCCTCTCACCCCAAACGCCTACATGGCGTATAGTGGGACAAACTTTACTTTTACCTCCGTAACAGTAATTGACAATGGGTAAAAACCGAAGCCAAAATTTGTATTTGTCTCTGAAATGTGGGAACTGATTGCACACTCACACTGTGGATTGCCTGAAAAAACTTCATTGCAGCTTTGTTTAAATTGGTATGTTGCTTTCACAGGTGTCAATTCTACGCACGCAGCTAAATTGCAAGAACGCAGAGGTTGAAACAGAGCGGCTAACAAAGGCACGGGAGATAGAGTCCCAGGCACAGGAGAACAGGGACAGGATGAAGGACCTGCAGAAGCAACTAGAGCAGATGAAAACACAACTGGAGTTCAAGGTGTGATGCATGCTCTCCCTTCACAGTAAACAATCATTATTTGAATTAATTTTCATAATCTGTTTTATAAGCTGCTAAGTTACTGTGATGTTGCAAGAGAAAAATAATTATTGTATAAATTAGGGAAGATTTCCTTCTACTTAGTATTTTTAGGACATTTACATGAGATAGTATTGGTCAGTCAGTAACAGATGGTCCTCCAGCTTTGGGGTTGGTGTATGGATTACAGCCACAATATTGTAGAATATCATGAAATGACAACAAAGCTTCATGGAGGAAGTTAGAAATTCATGCAACATTTTAGTCTGAAAACCTTTAAAAATATACAGCTTACGAGACCTAGGAGTAGACATGAGATTAATACAGTGAAACCTCTATCCATCGTTCCCGGAACTATCGTTTTCCCGGATGCATCGTCCGTTTTGTTCGGTCCCGAATACATCCCATATAAAATAATGTTACATTTTCCCGCTTCTATCGTTCCTCGAACTATCGTTTTATCGCATCGATCGTTCAAAAATCTTAGTCCCGGCCCACAATTTTCCCGCAATGATCGTTTCTGAGAAATTAAAATGCTGGGTTTTGAGATAAATTAATACCGAAAGACGCACAATGTTTTTGGAATACGCAGTAGCGGTAACCTGTTATGTCGCCCAACCAGCACATTCTTTTGGAATGAGGGTCAGCGGTGCAGGGGTGATATTGGAGTGAATGGGCGGTGCTCATTGTCAGAAATTTTACGATTTTAATTAGGGGGCACTCATATTTCGTTCCAGCGATGCCAAATGGCATGTGCACTGTGAATTTCTTCACAAATGCTTTTATTATAAGTACAAAGGAAAGACTGGCGGCACTTTTCATTCTTCTGGTTCATCTCGTTTCCAGCGGTTCTGGGTCTTCTACAGCTACGTTTCGTTGAGTTCGGCAGTAATAGTATTTCCATTCTTCCTGTTATTCGCGAAGGGGGTGGGAGAGGTGAGGAAGTGGAAGACGACGAATGCGAGCCCGAAGCTTTGCCGAGTTTTGCCGAAGCACACCCTGCATTGGCAAAAGTGAAGTCGTTCTTTTATGCGCTTAATATTAGTGAACGTGACGAGGAAAACATTTTGAACGTGGAAAGTGCTCTGTTTGGTCTAAAACGTAAAGTTTCGACAAACCAGTTGTCCACTAAAGACTTTTTTGGTAAAAAGAAGTAACTTTGAAAGAGAAACATTGTTTTTTTTTAAATTTTTAATGCTTTCCCGCATCTATCGTTTTCCCGCATTCATCGTTTTTATTTCCCACCCCCGCCGAAAACGATGCATCGAGGTTTCACTGTATTACAAGATTGGAAATGCATTTTTTTGGTGCACACCGAAATTTCTAAGATATTCTTCACACCACATTACATCAGCAGGTTGATTTGTTGGTAACTGCTACTTCAGTACAGTTTATATTAAAGAAACCAGGGTAAAGAATAGGCACATTTGCTCTACTTTTGTAAGAACAGAGTAGTGGCAGTATAATTTTTCACAAAAAGAAAAAAAAAATGCTTAAATTTGTGTCGGTGGAAACAAAGAAAACAAATTATTTTTTTCATTGTATGATAAGAGAAACAATCTAAGAATAGTTATTACAATACAATTTTCACTGTTAAGAGAGAAATAGTATCATTGTCCTGAACTGTGAAGAATATAAGAATGAATAAGAAAGAAAAATACCACACCAGAACACTTGGTATACTTTGATTAAGCATAAACGTCAGAGGAATGTTAGGTCATGTTATTATGAAAGTGATGTTGCTTCTGTTTCTGCATTCAGTATCTTTCTTTCTAGGCTTGCTATGGTTATTACATTATTAATCTTCATTGCAGGAAATATGTAAATTAATTTGGTACCCTGGCTAGTCCATAATGCCAATGTAGTGTTTTCTCTGAAAGCAGACGGCTTTGGACTCTCCTCGTTAAAAACCTCAAATCGTACGTTATCTCTCTTTTTTCTGATCACTCCGAGGCCAAATGTAGCAGTCTTCTTCTTCTTCTTCTTCTTTATTAATGGATTAAAAGTTAATATAACCAGGTAGTGAATTACATGTTTATATGGTTTTAGACTCTTGAGGTTGGTAATGCGGAGGAGAGATGTCGTCTGTTGGAGTCACAGACCAAAGTGAAGCTAGTGGAGCCACAGCTTTCTCAAACCCCACAAAAATTCCCCAAAAAGTAAGTAGATTTGCTACCGGTTATTACCCAGCGCAGGTATCTGTCTGTATACCGCTAATTCAGAATTTCTCAGGAGTGTGCGTGGGTAAAATTGGCTGGAGTATGATTCTTACTACTCATCTATATTTTGATTTTATCTAGAGTGACCAGTAAAGAAATTTGATCTGGCACATGGTTGAATTTAGATATTGTTAAATGTACAGTGCTTTATGAATTTTTAAATTTGTTTCCCACATGTAATCATAATTCTAGCTAATTCATCATACTCATCTAAATTATGTCCTTGATCCATGTCCTTCGCCTTTGTCCCTGGATTTCACTGCATTCAGATTAAAGGAACTAATCTTTCAAGATCAACTTATTGTAAAGTGAAATGATGTTATGTTGACACATTTAAATAAATATCATAAATTTATTCTTGAAATAAACAATTATAACGATAAAAATTTACTGATGAGTGTATTACGGTATTATGCGTAACTTGTTTTTGCAAGGTACCCAATTTGAATCCTGGCTGGAGATATGCTACTCTGAGTTTTTTGTGGTTTCACTCAGTTCTAGCTGAGTTCTGGGCCACTGTGTGTTTATTCATAACAATCCTCTCATTTCATAACATGTGACTCAACCCACTTTTATTAAACATTTTACTGCACATGCACAAAACTACTATGCCATTTTACCTGTTTTGATAATAATACAGTGTTAAAATATTATATTTTAAAATAAAACTGAACTTTATTTCCATGCCTCAGACTGCCAGTGAAGGGAAATTCCTCCCTGCAGATAGGGACTGCAGTGGCTTCCTTGAAACCTGTCAGATTTGAGATCCATGTTCCTGAAGGTAGGTTGTGTTCCGTGGTTTGTTATGTAAGTAATTCTGTGGTAGAGTGTCTTACCTGTGTCAAGACATTTCCTGAAACTTGAAGCAAAATCTGTAGCACTATTATTGACAATTAAAATGTTGTTTAGATTGCAGTGGACATAAAATATAAAGAAAATAATTATACTAAATTATATGTTCTTTCAGCTTTATTAGTATTATCAGTAAATATTTTTAATTTTATATATTTCAGTTATAGTTTTGTAGAATGAAATGTGATGTCTGTATTTTATGTGTATTAAAATCATAAACATTACAATATGGAACTTCTAAATCATATCTCACAGTTTTGAGGTAGTGGAAATTTGTTCCCAGAGGATGTATTCACAATTTTTGGATTGTAGTTTTCTAAGTTATGACAGTGTAGTTTCGTTTTGTTGGAACTTGCCATTTCCATCTTCAGGATGGGCTTCTATCAATATACTGGTAACCACATACAAGACTACAAAGGGTCAAAATATGAAGGATCACAATCCAAATTTTACCAAAACCACAAATTTTGCATTCACAATT